TAGTCTTCAATGGACAAGTGTGAGAATCTATCATTTATATTACTATTCCTATGGGAAAACTTGTTCAAGAGAGTAATTCATAAACAAACTTTAAGGAATATGAAAACTACAAGTTGGTGACTTCCTGCAACTTGTTTATTTAAAACATGGATAGTGTACGTGCCAAATTCAACAGGAAGAATTTTCCAGAATCTCCTAGAATGGTTTATCTAAGTTAATTTTTTTTAAAAGACTGCATGTTCTTTTGAGAGATTTAAAGTTGACCCCTGAAATTGGATAGAAACATACATATAAGGAGGCTCTTTCTGACACAGAACCTTGAAGAAGGAGAGGAATTACACAAATGATAGAACATATATTAGAATCTCGTATGCATACTTTAAGATTTTCCAGAATAACTTCACTATTTCTAGGAAGGGAATCAGTAGGAAAGTTAGAAGCATTTTTTAAATTTTTTTATTTATTTCAGAGAGAAGGGAGAGGGAGAGAAAGACAGAAACATCAATGATGAGAGAGAATCATTGATCTGCTGTCTCCTGCATGCCCCTCATTGGGGATCAAGCCCACAACCCGGGCATATGCCCTGACTGGGAATCGAACCATGACCTGCAGGTGCATAGGTCGATGCTCAACCTCTCAGCCACGAAGGCTGGGCAGAAGCATTTCTTTTAAAACTTCTATACTTTATCCAGCAAAGCTATCATTCAGAATTGAGGGTCAGATAAAGAGCTTCACAGAGAAGGAAAAGCTAAAGGAGTTCATCACCACCAAACCAGGATTATATGAAATGCTGAAAGGTATCCTTTAAGAAGAGGAAGAGGAAGAAAAAGGTAAAGATACAAATTATGAACAACAAATATGCATCTATCAACAAGTGAATCTAAGAATCAAGTGAATAAATAATCTGATGAACAGAATGAACTGGTGATTATAATAGAATCAGGGACATAGAAAGGGAATGGACTGACTATTCTTGGGGGGGAAAGGGGTGTGGGAGATGCGGGAAGAGACTGGACAAAAATCGTGCACCTATGGATGAGGACAGTGGGTGGGGAGTGAGGGCGGAGGGTGGGGCGGGAACTGGGAGGAGGGGAGTTTTGGGGGGGAAAAAAGAGGAACAAATGTAATAATCTGAACAATAAAGATTTAATTAAAAAAACAAAAAAAACACAAAACTTCTCAGCTAACTAGAAAATGAACAATTCCAACCTCAGAATGCATTGTTCATTTATGATCACATCAAAGAATTTTCCAAATAAGTAAAACTCCATTTCTAGATAGGAAAAAAAAAAAAAGCCTTTACTGTTACAAGGTTCATTGCAACCACAGAAGGTCAGTCAGTCTAGAGGTATTCAAAATTTTTTAAAGGATGATTTTGGAGATAATAGGTCTTAACAAGGAATTGAGACCTTGTGTCAGTACTCATATTTAAAAGACAGAGACAGAATATGCCACCAAAGAAGCTACTAAGTCCAGTTTTCAATTAGGTTAACATGACCAAGAGCACCTGATGCAAAGTAAAAAGAAAAGGTTCCTATTTAAAATATTATGATGGTTCCAAAATATGAGCACTGTTGTTTAATGCACTTGGGTTCAAGTTCCATCATATTTCTGCCTCAATGTATTATTTTTTATTTTTGCAATTTAAAAAATACTGCAATACTGCAAAAGTACTATATATAGAATATACTTATATGCAGGTTATTGTGAATAGTAAATACAACAAAATTTATTAAATCACCTTGCATATTATAATTAAACCTTTAAAATATGCTTGTTAATTTAAAAATGTGTTATATAAGATGAAATCATTGGCACCAAAAAACATACCTTTCCAGTATAATACCTAAGAGTTTGAGTATGGAGCTAAGAACACATGCGCCTTCAGTGCAGTTCTGCACAGACAAGAGAAAACTTCCCAGCCTGTCTTACAGATGTCCTAAGAAACCCCGACTTAGTTTTTTTCACTTACCTTAGAAGAGACAGCTAAAATGCCATTTTCAAATTTTAATAGTAAAACATAAAAATCAATAAAACCCTTGAACAGTTTTCCTAATCACATAGACTGTTGTACGCTTAGACAACACATACACCATTTAGCAAATAATTCCCTTTGCTCATCTTCTTTCCCTTCACATTCATACTACATAAGGTTCCACATCATGTGGCATTCTTAGGGAAGACATAACTCAATACCAACCATTGCTAAAAAATAAAGAGTGCGGGAATCATCAAATCAAGTCCCTTAAAAATATTGTTTAATAGAAATATTTGGAGCCACAAACTACTGGTAACCTGCTGGAGGTCCCTGCAGAATTATTTTACTGCCTTCTATGATATTAGAATCACTGAGGAGGTAGCACTGTTTTTCATCTATGACAAGAATTTCTAATAAGCATTGAATGAATGGAACCTATATCCTGTTCCATCAAAACAAGTACACTTGACTAGACTATGAGCCATTCAGATGAATATTTGTTTACTCTTGTTTTAAACAGAGTAGAGAAGTAGCTTTGAAAAGTTGCCATGGCCATGCTTTTCCTGAGCAGCAGACCAAACACTTTACTGAATATAGAGCTATATACACACACAAGTGCAAATGTAGGTTTTCTCCCTTTCTAGAAAAGTGCATATATGTAGATGACAGAGAGAGAGAGAGAGAGAGAGAGAGAGAGAGAGAGAGAGAGAGAGAGGTGCTAGTTGAGAAGAGAATCATTTTAATTATCTGGATGTTTGGTGACACACTCTCAGCCCACTAGGGATGAGGTAAATATAAATAATAACTGTTATCCCATGCCTTTAGAATAAGAGCAATTCAGAAGTGAAATTCTGGGATAGAATATCAGAAACATCTATGTGTATATACTGCCCCAAAGACTGGGGACTATGTAGAAGGTCATTGATACGTAAATTGATTTCTAGTGAAGATTCCCACGTGCCTTTCTAAGATCCCTGAACCATTAGGATGTTAAGTCTTAAAAAGCATTTAAGTAAGAACTATGTGTAGATTAAAAAAAAAGTTACTAGTTTCATTTACGTTTTTAAGTCAATGGTAACACCTTTCCAAATTTCTTTTACAAAAATCTGACAGAAGGTAACTAGGGATATCCAGGGGGTCACCTATAAGTCATAAAGGTGCTAAGATAATGTCCTTCATTAGGTAAAGTTGGCAAACCCAGAGCAATAGATTTGATTCAGCTCCAACACAAGTCTTTGTTACAATTCTCATTTCAGTTTAGGCAGCTCAAATAAGCTTCTCACAGGGCTTTGAACTGGCATTCTGTGATGGCACAATAGACAATTTTACTGGAAGAAGCATTAATGAACACCAATAAATGTTACTTCCTTCAAAGAAGACACTTTAACTCCATAGTTTGCAAGGCAAGAAGTAAAATGAAAGATGTTTCACTCCCTGGTGAAAGATTAAATTGAATCAGAATATGTGCAGATTTAATTTTAAGAAATGCTACCTAAAATTTAGCAAAGAACTATAGTATCTCTATAGACAGGATTTTTTTTTTTCTGAAAAGGGCAATCTACATGAGCTTTTAATTGAAAAGTACACCAGTAATACTCTTTCTGTTTGTCTTGTGTTGTTGTTCAAAGATTAAATCCATTTTTAATTAATGAAAATGATTTAATCTTAGAGCATTGGTAATCTCCGTTTATTTAGGCCTATATTTAAAGAACTGCTTGAGAGCCCTTTGCAAACAAGACAAGGCTCCATATAAAAATGATATCCAATCTCTTTTTTAAGGCTATTTTCTAAAATCTATGGGCCATGACTATAAAATTCTTCACTCACCCAGATCACATTAATAATGTTTGACATGATAGAGAGAGCAAAAGAATTATTTTCTGCCAAATATGTACAGGCTACACTGCTGTTGTTTTGAAACCATTCTCCTCATTCCATTTTGGTAAATTTCCAGAGAATGTTTAAAATCTTTAGGACAGACCTTAGTTTAAGAGGTGGCCTCTCTGCCATTTTCATGGCTGATTTGAGACCCATTATGCACTGGATTCTGCATCGTGAAATCCAGGCTGGGGACAAATTTCTGCCTGTCATCTTAGGAAAGGCCAGGAGTTTTGCACCATCCTGTAGTATGAAAACAGAAAATCAAAGCCAGGGTCAGGCTGCCTGTTTCTTCTTTAATCAGCTTGCTGCTTTTTTGAGGCAATCTCAGCTGTCACTATTTTAGGCTTGCAAGGGTAATTTAGTAGAATAAAATATAGTTTAAACAACATCTCAGGAAAAGTTCCTCCTTTCACTTAATATTAAATGTAAAAGGTAATCAGTAAGTAATCGTTTGATGCTTGGCTAGGAAACGATTTAGGAAGCACAAATTTTTAAAAACCACACACACACAAAACCTGATAAGACCCTGAATCCGGAGCCAAGAGGCCTGGATATTTTCCTCATATTGCTCATTCCGTTGCTATAACATCCCCATAAAACTATATCTTACGGACCAAATTTGCTGCATCTGTCACCCCAACAGTCAAATACAAATGGCAGAGATAAACATATCCTACAAGAATTGAAATTTTTAAACAGTTCAGTAAAAATTGCAGCAGGCTAACTCTGTCAATGCCCTCTCCTGTCTAATGTCAATTTCAGGAAACAAGTTTCCATTGTAAATGTTTAATCAGTGTCGTCCCAGGAACCCAGAGCAGACAACCTTATCTTCTCTCCCAACTTATTTGCTCTGCAAGCTCTTTAGTAGCTCTGTCTCAGCTCCCTGCAAGCACTTTAGGTTTTTCTCTTTTAAAAGAGCTGGGAGCTCTGTAGGTTCTGAGCTAAAGCGCTAAAGCGAAGCCCTGTGGTTTGATTCCACGAGTCTGAGCCCTGGTCCACTGCAAGCAAACTGCAGCGCTTGTGCTTGCAAATCCTGGCAACGAGGTTCTAGACCAGCCACAAACGCAGGCTGCACACCTTCCACGCTGTTCTGCCCATCACCTTGCCCGAAGCCTGTCAACCACAGCAGAAAGCATCCTACCTTCCATCATGGTGGCAGAATTGCATTCCTTAATTTCCAAGGAGTCTGAAAAAATACTGGAGGATACGATTCCAGGTCCCAGCGAAATCCTCCCGACACCGCTGCCGCTGCTGCCAGGCGATCGGCTGTATCCGTGGCTGCTGAAGCCAAAGACAAGTGTTAACCCCAAAGATAGGCCATGGATGCAGCTGGTGCTGCTTCACCTAAGGCTCCCGGGAAGATGCTGCGAGAGAAAGGGAGAGGAACAGCCAGCCGACGAGCTGCACCGCCTGCGCTGCCTCGGCCAATCCCTTCAGCTCTGGACCGCGTCACATGGTAGCCAGCCCGCATCTCCTGACACAATACCCGCGGAGAGCACACAGAACCTATTTCCCGTCCCCATTCTCCTCCACCCCCGGCCCCTGCCGCTGGTCGCCGAGCGCACAGCCCCTTCCCCACCTGGTGACGCACTTCCCCCGCCCCTCCTCTCCGTCTTCGGAAACCTGCCGGGTACCCGAGATTAATTCTCAGACGCCGCCACCGTAACAGGGGACGCCGGCATGGAAGGAGCACCTTCAGCGGCTTGCTGCGGAGGGGATTGAAAAAAATAATAATAAACTTAATTCCGTGAAGCCTGGAGTCTTAGCCGCACACTTTTAAGCTCCTATTCTCTTCTCCTTTTGCCCTGAAGGAATGTCAGTGTCCGTGGCCTCCCCATACATCTGTGACTCTCTCTCTCTCTCTCTCTCTCTCTCTCTCTCTCTCTCTCTCTCTCTCTCTCTCTCTCTCTCTCTCAAAAAAAAAAAAATCAATCAGGCTGACGTCATAAACAATTATCCCCAAAAAGGATGATGCAGAAGAAATTTCACCCCAGCTGCCTTCAAGAGATCCAGGAAATTAACCAAGCCTGGCATGCCAATGCTGGGAACTGTCATTAACACAAAGAAACAAAAGAACCCTACCCGAGCCGGCTCTGGAATCAAACTGGCAACGCTTGAGATAATTTCTGGGGCGGGAGGCGGGACGGAGGGCGGCAGGCAGAGAGGGGAGGCTTTAGCCCGACGAAAGACAGCTGTGCACGTCGCTTCTTGTCGCCGCCACCTGGACGCGCGGGCGGCCACAGACCGGACCCCGCGGGGCGCCTGTAGGCTCCGCGTTCGAGTCCCGCTGCCCGCAAGCCCCTCGGCCCGGCGCGCTCGCGAGCCGCCAGGCTGTCCTAGGTGGTGTGGCTGCCGCTGCCAACTGCAGTCCTGAGAGCAAAGCAACTTTCTTCTAAAGGACACCGTTTTCACGCCGCTCCACCTGCATCTGTAAGCGCCTTCAAGCCATTAGTCCTCCCGGTGGAAATCCAGAGGGAGGCGATTGTGTTGGGTTCTGGCCGCAGGATGGATGGATCCCCGGGTTTCTCAGCTGGGATGGGATGGGATCTGGGTGCCCTGGTGCTGCCTACGTGGGAAGGGCTGCTTGGATTGAGAATCTGTCACCTGGCTGGTCCGCAGTGACCCCGGGAGCCTTTTCAGAGGGCCCCAGACCCCGGTCCCTTCAAGCAGGCTCTGGCCCTGGCCGGCCGCTATGGAAGAAGAGGGTAGGTGGCATGCGGGAGGGACAGGAAGAGAGGAGGGGAGATGGGAAGGAAGGGAAAGGCCTCTGTGGAGCCCTAGGAGACGACATCAGCAGGAGGCATTTCTCCCTCAACAATCCAGCAACATGCTTAGGAAAAAGCCATTATGTCACAGAGCAATGGTGAGCACCAACTGAAATAACGTGAAGAAGCAAGATGCATTACATGATCAGCATTGGGCCTCTCGTACGATTAATCATTTATGTTACAAATGTACCCAGGAACTCTCAATATTGCTCAGCCCTTGACATAGTCTTGTTCTTTCCACCAGCGCAAATATGAGGTATCAGTGGTTGGATCTACTAGAGAAAATATAACTAAAGAAGCTGACTGGAATAGCATATTAACAGTTAAAAAGCAAAAACTCAGTTCCTTAGCAACTTAGAAGTTAAAAAAAACTCATTCTTCTCTCTAAGGACACATACTGTATATCAATGGCCTCTAAATATTAAAATGAAATTCTCCGGAGAGATACAAATACTTGTGCCTTTTTCCTTATAGCTACAAGGCAGTTGAATTTTAAAAGAGGGAAAAATTTCTGAGCAAAAACCTGTCTTGCGTACAACTTATACTACTTTGAAAACAGCAAGAGTATTATTGGGGAAAAAAAAAAAGACTGGTGTGTGTGTGTGTGTGTGTGTGTGTGTGTGTGTGTGTGTGTGTGTGTATTTAACCAAAAATGTTGTACTGATTAAGAACATGAATAGATAATAATGCCAAACAGAATGGGATCAAGTTCTGTCTCTGCCACTTAATGAACTCTATGACTTTGTACTAGTTATATAACACTTTGTGCCTCACAGTTTCCTTATCTGGGAAAGGAAGATAATAATACTGACTTCATAGGGCTATAAATAGTATTAATAACAAACCTTTAGTACTGGCTTACTATGTGCTAAGCAGAGTCCTAAATACCTCGCCAGTAAATTACTTAGCATTGTGTCTGGAGCATAATAAACCCTCCATATTAGCTTTGTAATAAACCACCAAAGGGCTGCTGGAGGCAGCAAAGAAGTTTGCAGCCAAGTTAGTTATATGACATGTACAGAGAACAACTCAGTGAAAGACCAGGTGACATATCTGGAAATGTAACATGTTGGAGAGTTCTGAGACGCTAAGTAGAAGATTCGAATCAAATGAGATTAGTTAGGGATGTTTCTCTTACAGAGGTGTATTTAGAGTTCAGATAAAATTGGAATGGGCTTAGAGTGGCAGTTCTCGATAAGATCAAGAGTTCTAAATAAGAAAAATGGTTTATATAAAATCTGGAAGTAAGTGCAAGCACTGAGATGCTGGGATAGTAGGCCTGTCAGAGATGTAAGGGGTGAGAGAGCCAGGGAAGCCCTGGCTGCCTACCTTCCCTCACCCCATGAAGTTTTTTACAGTGTGTTAGAGCAAACCTTTCAAATAGATTCAATAGGGCACACATCAGTTTTGTTTCAGACTTGCAGCGAAGCAACTAGCTAGGGACAGAAAGAGAGTTCAAAGATTCTTTTAATCAGTGGGTATTTATAAGAAAATTAAAGTGTCTAGATTGTCAGAGAAGGACCAAGAAAGGGATGTGCAGTTAAAGGTGTTAAGGCTAGTCCCGTGATTGGATAAACGTTGTGTAACTTTATTGAGAAGGCACTATCACCAACTGTAAGAATATCTGCACACTTCTCCACCCAGAATCGAACCTGCCACCTTTGGGTGTATAGGATGATGCTCCAACCAAGTGACACCAGCCAATGCCTTCTCATAGTTTTTAATTTTTGGCGGGTGGGGGGAAGGCTAGCTCAGGAACAAGGTATTTTTTGATTGTGCCCCAAATTTCATCAGTCCCAATATAGTTTTTGCTTAACAACAAGTGCAAAGGAGAATATATAGCTGCTAATATAGTGGAATATTTTTAAAGATGCATTTATTCTCATTTAGTATATTTTAATTAATTTTTTCAATTTGACAAATTGACAGTTTACAGTCAATATTATTTTGTATGAGCTTCAGGTTAGACATTCATATACATTGCAAAGTGTTCCTGATATTTCCAGTACCCGAGTGGCACCATACATAGTTGTTACAATATTATTGACTATATGTCCTATGCTATAATTAATGGAATATTTTTTGAAAGTCTAACAGAAGTCAAAGGATCTGTGGAAAATATTGGGTAAATTATTAACTTGCACCAAAGTTTCCAAACTGTCCAGGAGTTTAATCCAGGATGATGAGTGTGTACCCAGATCACACCAAGTGCTCACACACTGCCTGCAACTAGTTCAAGACCATAAACTGAATTACTGAAGTCACTAGACATTTAAAACTGTTTCTGAAATAACGTTTTTACAGTGGTGATGCTCTGTTCCACATTGTTTCTGGAATAAAATCCTATTATATTCTAACTATATAGTTTAATTTCTTCACTCAATTTTAATGTTTGAGGGGAAAATCAGTTCATATTTCAGAAAGTGAAAGAAATTAATGAGAACTGAATCACAAAGGAAGGAGGAAAAAAATTAACATAGAAAGAAGGAAAGTTTAAATAATGTATCCAATATCCCTCTTACTGTTCTGCTGAGGCAATTCAAATAAATGTAGAAGGGAAAATATTGTTCAGATCCCATGGAAATTAATAAAAGATCCCATGTGAAGGGTTAGATTTCCATGGGATGAAATAGTTGAAAGAGCAACATACTAGTCCATACACATGCATACTCTAAATACTCTTGGTTAAAATGAAGAACTACAACTGGATCTGACATGGGCAAAATAGGGATTTATTTGGGTAGCTTGCAGAGTTATATGAAGGACAGCACAGCTGAGGGAAAGCAAGAACCAAGGTGCTCCAGGAAACTTGGATACCAGACCCAAGTACTCAGAATTCTGTTTCTTCTAGTACATCAGCTTCTTTCCTCATATTAGTTTTTCTCCATGTGATCAGGAGCTGGTCAATTAAATCCTTTAAACTTATATTTCCACAGCTGGCCTATGCCAGATCTATTCAAAAATATTCCTGGGAAGGGCTCTGCTTGACCTGGCTTGAATTATTGTTCATCCTTTGGGCTAATCAATGGGGCCAGATTTGATGAGGTCTCATGGATGGACTTATTTAAGCCAAAACTTACATTGGACTTACTCACATGACCACTAATGTGAATAAACACGGGGAGGAAGATAAGCAAGTTTCTATAAGAACCAATCCTTAAGAGTATGGACCCCTTGGTTGGAGGGGTAGAAAAAGCATTGTCAAAGGAAGAAAGGGAGCTATTACCAGAATAAGTGTGGGGATAGAAACTATAAAGCAAAAACATACACCACATCAACATTACCCAGTGTATTTAAGGTAAAACTTACAAAAAGATTCATAATCTCAGAGGGACTCAGAATGCCACACTACCCCATTTAGCATACTTGAGAAGTTATTTATATACTAGAGGCCCAGCGCACGAATTTGTGCACCAGTCGGGTCCCTCCGGCCTGGCCTGCAGGATTGGGCCCAAACTGACTCTCCAACATTCCCCAAGGAATCCTGGATTGTGAGAGGGTGCAGGCCAGGCTGAGGGACCCCACTGGTGCATGATCAGGGCTGAGAGGAACCTGAGAGGGGTCCAGGGTGTGTCCTGCCCATTTCACTCAATCCTGATCAGCTGGACCCCAGCAAGCTAACCTAAAGGAGTGTCTGCCCCGCTGGGGGTCAGTGCACATCATAGTGAGTGGTTGAGCGGCCTTAGCATATCATTAGCATATTACACTTTGATTGGTTGAATGGCCTACTGGCTAGCCAGACACTTAGCATATTAGGCTTTTATTATATAGGATTCTCACTCACTATATCTAAAGAGAAACTTGTAGACCTTGTAATCCTCCTCCTCCTCACTATGGAGAGAGGAGAAGAAAAGGGGAGACAGACCCTACTTGTTGGTCCACTTACACCTAAGACAAGACATACCCTCATATGTTTGCCACCCATTGGTCCATCCCTACCCAGAGAGCCACGTATTCAAACCTACACAGTGTGGAAGGAACATATATTAGTCCAGAGGTACTGCTTAATCTAGACCAGTGGTTGGTAAACTGTGGCCCCTTGAGTGTGGCTCTTCCACCAAAACCCACATGCGGGCATGCACGTACA